GTGGCGTTATTCGCCGCAGCTGGCGCTGTTGGCCGCGGCGGTCTCTCCCGCAGCAGCGCGTCAGTGAACACATGCGTCGCGGTGTCGTGCCCAACTGTAACAGCGGCGCGCGCAATGATGACCATGACGAGAACCAGCACCATTAGAAGTAGAAGTAGTAGCAGTGGCGGTGGAGGTGGGTGCCTCTTTGTGCCAGCTCTGTGTGTCTCGCGGCGTGGTGTGAAGCTGTCGAACCCGATCGGCAAGCAGGGCAGCCAGCACTACGGTGTCGAGCCGAAACTCGAGGCGGGAAAGGATGTGCAACTGAAGCATACAGAGATGTACGATGGGTACACAGACGACTTTGGTGTCTTCAAGGAGGGCCCACCCACCACACTGCGCCTCGAGTACGTGCGCTCACCAGACCACGGACACTCGCAGCAGCTGCTGCAGAAGGACATCTGGTCACCGTTTCAGGTGAATGCAAACATGATGATGTACACTCCGCTCTACTACGACTGGAAGGGATTTTCGAGCCGCAACTATTGGGGCCACCGCAGCGGGACGAACCCCGGCAGCAAAGTGTTGCTCGGCCACTACAGGCGCGTGGAGGAGCGGTCGTGGGGGTACCGCGTCATGGTGAATCACAAGCCGCAGAAGCGGGTACCCAAGTGGCTCGCCTGCGTCTTGCACCTGCCTCGCAAGAAGACATTCCTTGGATTCTTCCTCTACGCCAATGGCGCCTACGTGGCGGAGCTGCTCACGTACAAGCAGCTGCCACGCATCTGTTACAACAAACCGTTCCAAGGATGCATGCCAACAATCGGGCAGACCGTGGCACTCAGCGAGGTGACGTACGGCAAAGAACTGCACTCCGTAGAGATGTACCCCGGTCATGGTGGCGTTATGTGCCGTGCGAGCGGTGCCGCCGCAGTGGTGCTGCGCGGTGCGGAGCCGAACCTTGTCCCACTGCTGCTGCCATCTAAGGAGGTGCGCCTGTTTGACAAGGAGTGTCACGCCGTTTTTGGCCGCCGTGCTGGGGTGATGTACCGCTACCAGCGCAACTTTGGCAAGCGCAATGTGGAGGAGAACATGCCCCANCGTCCCAAGGTGCACTCAAAGACGAAGCGAGTATCGAGTCATCCTGCTGGTGGCGGTAACGGCGGATCTGCAAATCTGCTTGTGCCGCTCGACTGGCGTATTCACCCACGCAACTGTGTCAAGACGAAGTACTGGCTCTCGGGCTATATTCTTCGCGGACGGCAGTACAACAAGGGACAAACTGTAGCGGATATCAAGTCCAAGACGTATAGTTGGGCAAACCGCGATCCTGTCTACCGATGAGCCAAGCAGATACGACTGTGTAACGTGGACGGATGCGGTCTCTATTGTGCACGTGTGTGTGTGTGTGTGTGGGTGTCTCTTTGTTGTTGGTGAATGGATGGAGTGGGGTGAAGGGAGCGTGGCGGTCACGCGTTTTTTTTTTTTTTNAGTCCCCTTTTTGTGGTTCTCTTGTCGTGTCTGTGTGACTGGGAGAGATGCACGGGTCCGACTTGTGCGCCATGCTACCCCGCGCTGTTGATTTTCTCTTGCTGTTGTTGTTGATGTTGCTTTGCCTCATCCATTAACGGTAGAACTAAAGCGCTAAAGAATACCCAAGAGATCACCCACTGCCTTACTGCACTTATTGCTAACACCACCACTTCAAAGGGGGGAGAAGAAAGAGTTACACCGCGTACTGAACGCTATTGTCAAAACCACTTACATATTATATATATATATATATATATATATTTATTCTCAAAGTAAACGATGCTGCGTCGTGCTGCTGCTGCCGCTGGTCTTTGCGCCGCCACACGTGGCGTGGCGCTGATGGCCTACACGACACTGCCGGAACTCAAGAAACCAAAGGGAGCCCCGGCGGAGTTGCCGAAGTTGGCCTTTGATTGGAAGAACGGCTGCGCCCCCGTCTTCAGTCCGCGACAGATTGAGCTGCACTACACAAAACATCACAAGGCGTACGTTGACAAGCTTAACGCGCTGGCGGGAACAGGCTTTGATGGTAAAACCATTGAAGACATCATCCTCGCCGTGGCAAACGACGTCGATAAGAAGGTGCTCTTCAACCAGGCCGCGCAGCACTTTAACCACACCTTCTACTGGCGGTGCATTACGCCGAATGGAAAGCCAATGCCGAAGTCGCTCGAGTCGGCAATCGCGGCGCAGTTCGGGTCGGTTGACAAATTCAAGGACACCTTCGCGCAGGCTGGTGCGAACAACTTTGGCTCCGGCTGGACGTGGCTCTGCGTGGACCCTGCGAAGAAGCAGCTGGTCATTGATAACACGAGCAACGCTGGATGCCCGCTAGCGACAGGAATGCGCCCCATCTTCACCGTTGATGTCTGGGAGCACGCTTACTACAAGGACTTTGAGAACCGCCGGCCGGATTACCTGAAGGAGATCTGGGCGGTGGTCGACTGGGAATTTGTTGCGGAGATGCACGCACATGCGCTGAAGTAAAAAAAAAAAAAGAAGCGGGGTACCGGCGAAGGAACATGCGTGCCCAAGTTGTTGGTAGGACCCAGAGCGCCTGTTGCCTCCAGGACTATGTGCGTCCCTCCGTGTCTGTGTGTTCCTTTGTTTTTGTTTTTCCCCCTTCTTTTCTGTGTTTCCTTCAGGATGCGTGTGTCTGTGTGGGTATGTGCTGGTCAATTTCGTCGTTTTGCGGTCCACCTGTCCTTTGTCGTTGATGTTCCTTCCGTCAGGTGTTGAATCCCCGCGGACCCAGCGAGTGCGCGCGTGCGCGGACGCCACACACCAACCGCCATTGTCTTTCTGTGCGAGCGATAGAGAGAGTGAAGAAGAAAGGAGGATTTTTTTTTTTGCTTTGTGGGGGTGGGAAAAAAAAAAGAATCCTTTGATACCCGCGGGGGCAGCGCCCCTCTCACCGCCTGCATACGTGCTCCTTTATTGCTTGTTGCATGACGTGGCTCTTTCTCTTTCGCTCTCCCACTCCTTTTACACGTCTGCACCTCGCGGCATGCACGCACGCATGCCAACAATGAAATAACGAAGAGTAGCGAGATAGTGTCGTGTCTGTCTGTGTGTGTGTGTTGGTGTAAGTGCGCAGTAGGAACGATGCAGGGCCAGATGATGATTATGCAAGCGATGGAGCGTTACGCGATGTTCGACCTCGCGAACGACGTCCTCGAGCAGTGCTGGGACATCTGCTACGACCGCAACCTCACGCGGAAGGAGTTGGTGGAGGGCGACCTGCCAGACAGCAAGCTGCGCAAGATGGAGGCGTGCCAGCGCAAGTGTATTGCGCGCCACTTTGAAGTGATGAAGCTGATGAACGAGGCGCGCGAGCTGCGGGAGAAGGAGGCACTGCAGGGACTGCCGCCGGGCTCGCTCAGTGCGGCGTGACGGCTACCCGTACGCCCCACGCGTCTTGTGAGCATTCACGCTCGCACTTTCCCTCCTCCCCTCCCGCTCTCTCCTTCGCTCATGCTCTGCTGCTGATTCCCACTCCGTGTGTGCACACTTCTGTGTGCCTGTGTGTGAGAATGAGTGACTGAGTGTGTGTCTGTATGAGAAGAAGAGGGGGGGGAGGCGTCGTCTAGTCGCACCCCTAACCGTAAAAGGAAACGAAAAAAGAACCCCCAAACTCCTATGGTCCCTATTCACCCCTTGGAGATGTGATACAACAGCACGCATGTCGCATGTCGTTTCTTTCTCTTTCTATATGTCTCTCTCTAACACGCACACACACACATACAAAAATGTGCCCACACAATACACCTGTAGTACTAGTTGGCTTGAGTATTTTTGTTTCTTAATTACTCTGGAAGGGGGGTGGGGAGGAGAGCTCCTCAGGAAAAAGGAGGCATTTCCACATTTCGCCCCTGTTAACGACGCGAACTCTCAGAGATTCCAAGGCTCAGAGCACACAATCACAATATTGGGCACATACGTAAAACACATTTACTCACATCTTCGAGGAGCAGCGGGAAAAAAAGGCANAAAAAAAAAAGACGCTCGGGAGGAAATTAATCGATCATGGCGGACCGCCTGCGCACTTCGCTATCGTCACACTTCTCGAGACACATTGAACGCGGGGACTGGAGTAGCTGTCTGAAGGCACTCCGCGGCTGTGCAGAGACGGGTACGCTCCTTCACAGCCTGCCGCATGACACGCTTTTCCCTTTTTTGGTGGCGAATGGGCAGTGGGAGTCGGTGCTGCGCCTCAGCAGTCAACTTATGGTAGCAGAAGACGCCAAGGCAGCTGCAAAGAGTAGCAATACCTCCAGGACCAGCAGCAGCAGTGGTGCTGCGGTGAGGGTGCCTGAGGAGGAAAAAGGCTTATACAACACACTGCTGCGGGCGACTCTTGTGCCTGAGGCGGTGGAGAGTATGGGGAGTTGGCGTGCAACAGCGGCGATTGTGCAGCGTACGGCTCAGCGGCGTGTGCGACTGGAGACTTCTGTCGTGCGCGACACGCTGAATGTCATTGAAAACTGGCAACAGCACGACCTAGACAGCAGCAGCAGCGGCACTGGCCCTACGACGGAGGAAGATCGGAAGCGCCGGGATGCACTGTTGCTCACAAGAGATATTCTCGCAGCGGATTTGCACCTTCGTGGGGAGTCTCGCACTACTGACCATTCTGCGCCGATGCGGCGGTTGCCGCCAAAGATACATTCGGATTTTCTCTATGCGATTGATGCTGTCGTGCGGGGGCCGTTGTCGGAGGATGGCGACAGCGCCGCACAGTGGGAACGGCTGCATGAACAACTGCACGCGAGTTTTGCGCTCTCGTGGGAAGACGCGGTGCACACAGTGTTGTGTGTGTGTGGCCCCCACAACTCCCAAGCAAGAGAGCACCAAGAGTGTGAGGAGCTGGAGGGTGTGCTGGAGGCAGCCAGTGAATACACCACTGTGCGGCCTGACGTGGCGGAGCGGGTGCTTCACATGACTTTGCGGCGAATGTTTACTGGCGGTGCTGTCATTGCTGCGCCACCGCCAAGCGTGGCGCACGATACCGAGAATTTGAGTGGCGTCAGCAGCGGAGTTAGTGCGGCACTACTAGCGTGGTGGAGGCGAGAAGTTGAGAAAACTGCCGCGGTGGAGCTGCCGAAGTGGGAGGCTGTGAAAGCGTTGGCTCTGGCCGAGTTGCAGCAGCGCGAACGGCAGTGGGATATGACGCATGATCTCAGACTACAGCAGCAGCGTCAACAGCAACAGGCTAAAGAAGTAACAGAGGCCATAACATCTCTTAAATGGCTCTGTATAGCTGCGCAGTTGGTTTTTGTTAGGAGTGAGGCAGTGGAGCAACTGGGCAACTCTGCCGAGTCGGATGACGCAAAGCTCACGGCCCTTGAAGACATTGTGCAAAAACTGCTCCTGCATGGCGCAGCCGTCATGGCCAATAACGTTGGTGACGATGTGGATAGTCTCCTCATCAAGACTATCCAATCCCTTATGCTCACCTACATTCGCTTGTGTTGTGCCAAGGACTGTCGTCACACCGCTCTGTGTGGGGAAGTAGAAGCGGTGCGAAATGATCAGCAGCCGTCGCTGAAGAGCAACAATGACGCTATCACCAGTGTGACCTCCTCGCAGGCGCCATCTGTTCTTACGTCTAGGAGGGAGTTGTTCTGGAGACGCGTTCTTTTCCCACACCGCATCGCGCCCCTGCGTGACTCACGGCATAATCCCCAGCAGGAACAACGACGTTTGCGGTTCAACGCAGCTTGGCAGTCATTGCTGCGGTGCGTCTTTCACGACACGTCCGTCTTGACGGTTTGGTTCGACGACGAGCAACGCCCCCGTGAAGGTGACGAGGCGCAGGTGAATAAGATATTAGATGAACGCAAAGATACCGGGCACCGTGGACGTGATCGTCGTCATCATCGTCAGCGCCGTTTGCCTGCTACAGCCAAACCCTTCGTCTGGCGTGAAGAGGCGCTGAGGCAACTGCAGCAGCTGGTGTACTTCCTCGGTAGAAAGTTTACCGTTGACAACGACGCCTTAAGCGCGACGCGCGTGCCTCTTTTACAGCGGCACGGTGTTCCGCTTGGTGTGGAGGCGGATGCAGACACCGGTGTGGTGATCCCTGCATTGTCGAAGCTGCTCACACGACAGGAGGACGTCGACCGCTTTGGAGCTGCCCTGTTGCAGGCTTGCGTGAGCAATAGCGCATCTGTGGCTGACGCCACAGGTGTGTGGCGCGCGTACGTCGCGTCTATTGCCCGCCCTCACGTGGCGCCGCTGCTGCAACGGATCATGGACGGCGATGCTTCCACGGCTGCTGATGCTGGCGCAGTCGGACCGTGCCGCATTGCCCTCGTGGCGGTTATGTACGAAACCGACGCCATTTCTGTGGCGGAGAAGGCGAAATACACGGCTGCATTGCTGCATTCTGTTGAGCCCCGCACAAAGTCGTGGTGCGTAGCCCTCGCTCTATTCGGCGAATCTGCAACGTCTCTCTGCGCGCAACAGCAGAATAATGGTAATAATGGCGTGGATGCCGCACTCCCACACATCATGGACGCTTTGGTGGGGCAGGCGGCCCCGCCACGCTGGCGAGAGGCACTGCAGGTTGTAGAGGTCCTTCATGCACTAGCGCCTATCACCACTGCCAGCAGCAAAAGCGGCAGCGACCACGACACCTATGACGAAGCTGCTGTTTCCGAACGGACTCCCCTAAATGAATCGGAACGTATCGACCTTTATGAAGCTGTTGCTCCATTAAAGCAGCGACGGTACTGGAAGTCCGCCATGGCACTCTTCGACGCATACGAAGCACGTATACTGAGCAGCCATGATGCAGCGTGCTTTGCATTTGCGGTGGAGCGGGGGCCGCTCTCGTTTGCTCGACGTGTTCTGCTCGCACACGGCGAGCGTGAAACGAGCCGGGCGGTGGCGCAAGGGGCTCTGTTGGCGTGTGCACGTCATGTGGGTCGCGTAACGCGGAGGTCGTCGCCGCAACAACAACATGATGACAGTGAGGCGGCGCGGGAGCAGGAGCAGGTATTTGTGATGCACGAGGCGCGTCAAGTGGTGCGGCTAGCCCTTGCGGCGTGGCCAACGCCCATTACTGACGAGTCGGACTTCGCGTTTGTGTGGAAGAACGTCAGGCGCGCGTGTGCTGGCGACGAAGATGCGGCCAAGCTGCTTCTGCGGCAGAGCGCTCTGTATGACACGGAACAAGTGAGGGCTGAGACTGACGCGCTGACGCACACCGTGCGCCTGTGCCACACCGCACGTGACACGACGACCGCGACCGAAGCGTACCGCTTGTTTCGCGAGCGGTTCATTGGAGTTGTTTTGCCGGAGGAGACGATGCTGCAGCTCCTGGAGTTGTGTGCGACTTCCGTTAGCGAAGCGACAGGTGGCGCCGCAGACGACGGTGTTGCCCTGTTGTGCACTCTTCTGCGAGACGCCCTATGGATGCACGATTCAGTGGCTCACACCGATAAGGGGCAAACTGTGACGCCGCACGGATTCCTGCTGCGGACGTGCACTGTGCTGTTTCGGCTGCGCTGCTGCACGGACGAAACAGATGGTGCCGGTGCTGCTACGGTCCCTCCTGGTGGTGGTATTCCCAGGCTTCGTTCGAGCATGGCGCCAGGCATGCGGCATTACACCTCGCGCGTTCTAGAAGTATTGGTGAGGCATCTGGTGAAGACCCCGGCGAGACTGGTGCGCAATCTTGCAGACTTGGTGGGTGTACTTCGAGCACTGCCGCTGTGTGCCATGCTGAAAGCAGCAGAACAAGATTTATCGGCATTAAGTCCCCTCGCAATGCTGCTCCAACATGTGCAGCAGTTGGAGCAGCAGCTTGGTCCTGTGGTGCCAGTCGAATGCATTTTCTGGCTTGAAGTCATGCAACATGCGGCGACGTCATTCTCACCTGCCGCGGGGGTAGACATCGATGAGGTGGGCGGAGATGCCTACGTCTGGAATCCCACGGTATTTGTGATTGCGAATGATACGCAAAGCAGCAGTTATGCAGAGTCACTCCTAGATAAAATTGTTGTCGATACGTTCGAGGCCTTATGCTGCCGGCAGAAGAACGAGTCGTCCTTGTCCATGATGACTATGTCCACTTTATCGCTGCGCTTTCAGCTTCTTCCATGCGCTATTGAGGCTATTATGTTCGTACTGCAGCAACGTTGGCATTTGCGTCCTCCTCTTGTAGCTCTCCTTGCTGCTGCAAGGTCTTCTTTGCGTCTGCTCCGCGCAACTCCGGATTGGCACACAGGCGATGACGCTGCTGCTGCCCCTGCCGCCGCTAATGTCTTTGCGTCCTTGCAGTCTATTCTCCGTGACTTGTACGTACGCCACACAATAACAGAGCTTGCGACGGCGGCGTGCCCTCATCACCGCCTCTCCTCTGCTGTTGACGGCGCGTTGAGACGAACTGCATACGAGGCTGCACAACACATGCGAGATTTTGTTGCGCTGGCATCAGCGTGGATGCAGGCATTGTTGCACAGTGCCGAAAACATAACTGGGGGTCAGCGACGGCAGCAGACGCAACAACTCCTGCAGCCGCGCGTCCACGGCATGGCGCGACTCGTTGCCACGGCCGTAGGGACGTGTGCAGCATGGCCAGAATCGCCGCTACGGGACGAGTGCATGCGTGATTTGAAGTGCTCGTGTGAGGCGCTGAAGCGATGTGTCACTGCAGGGCGCGCGGGGGACGTGTGCTGTAGTGCGCTCCTGCTGCTGCGAGTGGTGGACGCCATTTTGCAGACCGGCACGCCATATGATGGCAAGGAGATGGAGCGCCTCTTCCGCAGTGCGGCTGCAGAAGCGCACCATCTGGATGGTGAAGATGATGCCGCAGTCTTTTCTTCTGCTGCTGCGGTATCGAATGTCACCATGGCAGTTGCACTGCCGTGCGTTGTGCGTCATGGCCCTGTGCACAGCATAGACCTGATTCGTGCGTTTCTGCCGGCGCTGCGACTCGATGATGACGTTCAGCAGTTGCTGCACGATGATGAGGCGTTGGTGTGCGGGCTCGTTGCGGTGGACTTGGCGCGCTTCGGCTCTGCTGCTGCTGTGCGCCGTGTGCTGGGAACATCATTGCCGGCTGTGGCGCGATTGATTGGGCGCATTGGTGAGCTCCCTCCTGGGCGGCTGCCGCTTGGCACTGCTGCAGCCGCAACAGCGGCAACACCGGGTCCGCAGCTGCAATCAGATGAGCAACTGGTGGAAATTGCCGTGTTTGCGGCCCTTGCGGACTCTCAGTGTAGCGACACAAGCAACCAGTCTCGCACTGAGGGAGACGTTGCTGAAGTGATGGATGCCGTTGGTGCCGTAGTGCCGCACCGCTGGGACTTGGCGCATGCCGTTGCAGTGGGCTATCCGCTTCTCCAGCAGCCGAAGCAAGAGCAAGAGGAGGCGCCCGTGGACGTCGCACTACGCAAACGATTCGCATTGGCCCTTGAGTGCTGTGGGCCATGGCCGCGTGGTGTGGCGCTAATGCTGCTGCTGCAGGTGTATCAGCCCACAACAGATGGTGAAAATGGCAATCGCCTTCTGCCAGATTGCGTCAAGCAGCTTGAAGCCATGACGGACCTCGATGCAGCTCGGCAGTGGACCGCAACAGGCCCACGCCGATTCCCGAGTGATGCCTCGCTTCTCACACGTGGTGTGGCGCTTCAGCACCTTCAGGTGGATATCGCAGCGTCTGTCTTGTTGGGCAATGCACTGCATCAGCAGCAGCACGGCTCGTGGAATGCGCTCTCCACGAGCAATTCTGCTGTGCAGTTCCGCGCTATTGCATTCATAACGGCGCCTTTGGGGGAGATGATTTCTATTAAACAGCAGCAACAAGAGGGGCGAAAACATCTATTGACGAGTGTTGCCTCTTGGCTGTCCTCTTCTTCTAGCAATCGGCAGTGGGATTCGATCTGCGCGGAGGCAAAACACCTACTACTGTGGAGTCGGGTCCCCTTCACGCCATCCGGCGCAACAGCAGCAGCAACGGTAGGTGAGGGAGGGGTGGAGCAAGTGGTCGCTGCAGCAGCGTCACTGGTGGCGTCGTCCCGTGCCGCCTTCGCATCTATGAAGAAAATACAAACCTGCGATGCTGTTGGCCTTGCCACCGTTGGTGAGAATGACTCTTTTCTGCTGAGCTTCCCACGTGCACTCTTCAACACTAACTGGGTGGCGGAGCTATGCTGGAGAAAACTGGTGCCGCCGAGCCGCCCTCTTCCTCTGCAGTTGTGCCGTGTGTTGCGTCTCATTCCTAGTCATCACGGCGGCGCGGCAGCTGATGCGGGTGTTGATGTGTCGCTACTCGACATGCCTGCTGGTTTCAGCAGTCTACAGTACGCGCATGCATTCATTACCGCCAGAGGGACAGAACTGCGGCGGGAGGAACGACAGCTGGTTCTATCGCTTGCGTGTAGCCAATCGATGGAAGAGGTATCAGATTTGCTGGAAAAGCACTTGTTGCGTCGATCTCCTGATGCTGATGCTGACGCTGCCCATTTTGAAGCTGAGCTGCTGCTCGCTGCGTGGAACACTATTCTTATCCGTCGTGTTGAGCTTGGAAGCGACCGAGTGGCAGAGAAACGAAATGGTGGCGTGCAACTCGAGGAAGAAGATCTAAGTAAGCGCGCAGCCGCAGCGTTCCTCGCGTTGCTTATGGCCGCATTGGACAAGAGCAGCAAGGCATCCTCAGAGCACATGCAACAGCGGCAGAAGCAACATCTGCAGCAGCTCGTTGCCGAAGTGTTTGCGCACACGGCCACTGGTGCTGTATTCGTGAGCAAAGCGGGAATGGACCACATCGATGAGGAAGTCTTTCGTAAGATATGCGCTGACACTGTGCTCAGTGCAATCGAGCTTCAGCAGAAGCAGAAGCAGCAGCCGTCTATCGCCGCCCACGTACTTGACGAACAGCTCATGTTGTCCATCGAACTGTGGAGACGAAGCGCTGCGGGCAGCGTGCAGTGGCTGTCACTGTGGCCGCCGCTCCCACTGGAGATGTTGCGCTGCCGCCTGCACGTCAAGTCTATGCTGCAGGCAAAGCGTGACACGCCGTCGCTGTGCCAACTGCGCCATCCCGCAGCAGTGGTTTGGATGATGCAGCAATGTGTCGCTCTCGCCGCACGCATCACCGCACCGGCGCGTCCAATGATGGCTCTCTTTAGTATTCTTCAGGTATACGTGACGAGTGGCGTGGCCACCTTTACAACGGGGTATGGAGCCACGAAATCATCGTCACCAACATCATCATCGGCAGCAGCATCAGCGGGGACAGCAGACAAGGCATCCATTGCGGCGCCACCATTCATCCGCGGTGCGGGAGCAGGGCTTGTCGTTGACCAGTTCATCTGCCTCGTGCTGCGGCAGGGTGCAGCAACGAACCCTCACAGCAGCAGCAGGAGCAGAAGCGACAGCATAAGTATCACTGAAGTGCGAGATCACAACATCATTTGCCACCTTGCCGATGCGGTTTTCCCGCGTGTGTTGCAGGATGGGCCGTCCCCGCCGTTCCTGTCGGGGTACGCCCCGCTGAGCGGTGACGGTCTGCAGGCGCTGGCGCGTCTCGTAGTTCTGCGTAGCGGCCTCGAGAAACGTCGCACCGCGACCGTCCAGCACGTTGTGAATCTGCTACGAATGGAGCAACGGCGTGAGGCTGCACGTCGCACTGCCGCACGTGAGGCTGGGCTGCCGCTCACGCAGGTGCACGCTGGCCAACCGCGACGCGCGCAGGATGTGGGAGTGCTGCTGCTTTTTCACCTGCGTGCACTGACGGCGGCCCTCAGGTTCGTGAACCCACTCGGCTGGCACGGCGAGCGGCAGGCCACGCTTGACATCGCCTACACCGCGTTGCTGGACCTTCTGCTGCTACACGGTGAGTCACATGCCGGTGTGGATATCATGTCGCGGGCCGTTTCAAAGGAGCTGGAGATCATCTTCGGCCCGGGTGCGCAGCGTGTGATTCGCGCAGCAACGGCGTCTGCACGGGCGCCGGAAGACAGTGCTGTCACACCGCTGCAGCTTCTGTGCTTCGTGAGTGGGGACTGGCGTCAACAGCGGCAGGAACGGCGGGAAGCGAGGGCGCATCTGCATCGCCAACTGTGGGAGTTGCTTGCGTCCCACAGAAACGCAGGTACAGCACCAGATGTGCTGTTTGTCAAGGGCGATGATGACGCGTCTGTTTCGCTTCCGCTGCCACCATTCGTTCGGGTCGTATCTCTTGTGCAGAAGACACTTTGGTCCACCGCCGCAATGCCCTCGCATGATGTTGTGCTAGAGATTCTCGATGTTGCCGACACTGGGGATGAGCTGGCGGCGCGCTGTGGTCTGCAGGTCTTTGCAACCGTTGCACCGTACATGGCTGTGTCAACGCTGATGCTGGAGAAGGTGCTCGTGCTGCTTCTCGTGGTGAGTCGGCAGTCTACTACTGCCGATGATGGTGACAGGGCGCTGCGCGAGAGGATTTTGGACATGGTGCTTCGTCAGTTTCAGTACGTCCCGCTTAACACCCCAGTTGGAGTGGTGCTGCTGTGTGAGCTGTACGCGGCCGTGTCTGCTACTTGTGGTGATATTTCTGCTGTCGCCTTCGATGAAGGTGTTCTTGTGAATGAAGAGGGTGCTTCGCAAACTCGTCGCGTGTCATCACATTCTACCAGTGTGTCACAGCTGAAGGAATGGCTGTTATGGCGCTGCGCTGTGGAGGGGAGCCGGGTTGCGTGGGCACCGCTGCAGGCCGCATTGTCGCCGTTGCAGCAGGATCGCTTGCAGTTGTTGCAGCGTGGCTGTCTTGAGTTCCTCGCGCAGGGTCACACGAGGCCGCACTATGACCTGCCGTTCTTGCGTCTCGGCAGGATTCTAGACTCTCTGCTCAATCAGACAAGCAGCAGCAGCAGCTTTACGGGGAGCTTGCTGCGTATGATGGAGACAAGCACTGCGGCGGGAACAAATGCTGTTCCCTGGCGTCGCGCTCTGTTGTTCTTGCCGGAGCCTTGCAAAGATGCAGAACTGCAGCCGGACATGCTGCGTCTCCGTTTCTTTGTGGTACTGCTGGAACGCATTCTTTCTACCAGTGGTGACAAAAGCAAGGATGGAGTCCGTCAGTTGTGGAAGGAGGCACTTGCGGCAATTCTGCCAGGTGCTGTAGCTGTGGGAGAGCACAGTGACGGAGAAGGACCACTCATTCATCGCGCCACCGCGTGTGCACTCCGGGCCCTCCAGACTGTTCAGCCGCGACAACAGTGGGGGCCTGCACTGGAGCTGACTCGGCGACTCACTGCTGTTGCCACCACCACCACCACCACCACTACTACTACTACTACTAGTGAAACTGGTTTGACTGCTGATTCGTATTCGCCGGTGGTGTGGTGGTCTACCCCTGAAGCAGCATTGTTTCACACGCTGCGGTATCTTGTTGAGGCGTGTGACATGTCATCTATCCCCATCGCATCGCTGCTCGCGTACCTGCAGTTGGTTGCCACTCGTCAGGCAGCCGCTATGCCGCTCGAGGCTCCTGTCGCCCGTCTCAATCGCGCGCGGGCAGTGGTCGCCTTCACGCAGCGGTTGCAGCGTCACCCCTACCTCCGCTGGGTCGATGCCCTTGCCGCGCTGGACTCGCTACGCATGATCGAAAAGGCCCTGACTGAAACTTCTGGAGGGTGTAGCAACAGTAACACCAATGGTGCTAATGTTGAACAGGAGAACGAGAGACGCCATCTGCTGCAACAAGCGAATGATGAATTCGTCAATGCCATGATGGAGCGGTTGTATCATAAACAGTCTTATGAATCGCTGCTGCGGTTTGTGGAGGCGGCCCAGCATTACCACCGCGTGAGTGGTCGACAAGCTCTGGCGCGGCTGAACCACGCTGCCTCTGTGGTCGTGCCACCAAGCCGTAGTGGTGGACTGTCAGAGGTGTTGTTGCTGCTTAATGGCACTCTCATCGGCAAGACGTTGGATGATATATTGCTGGAGCAGTCAGCTTCCATGCAGCAGGAGCGTGTGCGTCTGCTGCAGGATCTGCTGCGGAACGGCAGGTGTGGAGATGCGGCGGTGCTTGCACGACAATCTCCCGGACTTCTGCGAACGCGTGAGTTTTATGACGCTTGTGCGGGTTTGATTAATCGTTCTCGCCACAGCGTTGTTGTTCTCTTCTACGACGAATTAATACACTCGACGGAGGACGAAGAAGAATGGGAAGAGGACGTATCCACGGCGGGAGTGACTGGCAACTCACCAGGCTACCATGATGACGGCATGATAACAAAGCTCCTGGAGGCCGACGTGCGCCGCACGGAAGACGCGGCGGTCGTGCGAGACCTCTCAGATGAGTCGCTGCAGCAAGCCATGATGGCCTTTGAGGTTGCTGCGAATACTGCGAAGGGTGTAAGCAGCAGCGCGGGTCGGACAATACTGTGGATTGCGGCCGCATGGCTGCGGCGCTCAACGGCGCTGCAGCAGTCGCAGGCACCACTCGCAGCGACAATGTGGTGGGTTCGTCAAGATGTCGTGGGAGGCAATAACGCAGGTACGAGCAACGGCCCACTGCGCATTCTTGCCGATGCCGTGAGCGATACCCTGCGCATGGAGCCTGAGAAAAGCAACAACAACAACAACAGCAGCAGCAGCAGCAGCAGAAGTAGCGCGGTGAATTTGGTGGAAATGCTGCGGCGTGAACGCGCGGTGGCACGTCCGCTTGTGGCGGTTCTCTCGGGTGCGTTCCCTGGCATCACAGTACGGCTATGCCAATTGTTGTTGCAGGCGCAGCAGTCGAGTGGTGTAGCGGAGGAACAGTCGTCAAAAAAGAAGGATGACGAGTGGGAGTGTTTCTTGCGCTGCACCGCGTCATACAACATGGAGCTCCAGAATGCCAGCCAGCGATGCCGCGACCTCGTTGACAGTGCCGCAAAGGATAAGGGACACACAGGCATCGTGCAGTGGCGTGATCGTGCGCTGTTTGGCAGCAGCACCGAGTGGTTGACGGCGCTGGCGGTGTATGGCACCGCGCGTTCCTTCGTTGGGAATGCGGCTGTTAGCGGGGTCCATGCAACTCGCCTCGTAAAGGCCATTACCTCCAGCAATGCACTCGATGTTGTTGTTCCTGTGGCCCGCGAGATCTTTTTTCACGCCACTTCCCCTCACCAACGCGGCGGCGGCGGCGTCGCAGCGCCATTTGTGGAGGCGCTGCTTCCTCTTGTCAGCAGGATGCGGACGCTTAAGCGGGAGGCCATTCGCCAACTCACTTCTGCGGCGGAAGTGGAGCCTACACAGCTGCAGGCCACACTCGCCAATATCCACGAGCTCAACCGCTTTATTGGTGATGTTCTCTCGCGGCAGCAACAACGGCAACAGCAGGCACCGTCTACTTCGAGTGTGGAAGTGGATGAAGGCGGAGTCTTTGACGGTCGGGTGGAGGTCGCGTGTCACATGATCGAGTGCCTCACCGTGGCACCCACAGATCCCGCCACATCGGCAGCTGTGCTCGAGGAGTGGCGCCTGCTTACGCAGCGTGTCATCGCGGCTGTTCCACCATCACAGCGCAGCAGTGAATTACTCAACGCCGTAATGGAAAGCGCGCGGGACTCGTGGGAGGTGCTCCGTGTCGCACAGCAGTGCGCGCTGACGGGTTGTGACGTGGCGTGCGAAGGGCTGTGGCGCGACGCGCTTGGCATCGCCACTGCCGACACTAGCTTGCGCCGCCACCTGTTCGCCAGCAGCAGCGCGGCGCAGCGGCAGACGGCTGCGGCGCATCTCGAGACGCTCATCGGCTGCGCGAGCCTCGCACCACATGGTGGCGTGGAGTCGATGCAGTCCCTCTGCGACACGGTGCTCCGGCAACACGCCGTTCCGCTAACGGAGGATGCAAAAACGCTCGTGAAGCTCGCGTGCATCCGCAGCGGTGGGTCATCGTGGCGCACGCTCTACCAGACCGTTACGGGCACTGCGCCGATGATGGTGCTGCGGCAGACCGCGCTTACTGCGTCTGAAGAGGAACTGCAGCGGAGCCGCTGTGCGAAGGCATTGGAGACTGTTAGTGATTGGGCGCAGGCACTACGGCTGGGGCAAGAGAAGCGTGAGGTGGGCGTGCGATTGCAGCACGCACACTACCGGCGCATGCTGCAGCTGATACTGGAGCAGCAAGGCATGAACGAGTCTGCTGAGGATGCCGCCGTTGCGGTTGGTGATGCAGTGATGTCACTGCACTTTGCGCGACTGCAGGACGGCACTGCACCGGACACGCAGGCAGTGGAGCAGTCGCTGCGCATCCTCTCCCATCCCGCTCTCTCGCCGCTCTACGTGCTCCAGTACGCACAGGCCCTCACACTCCTTCCCTCTGTTAGCAACCGTCGGCACAAGAATACCAGCAGCAGTGACGCACCTTCGGTTCCACCCGCACACGCTGTGGAGGAGACACACTTCTCTCTGTCAGTGTTAATCATGCGGCAGGTCGTAGATGCGGCCCAGCGGCTTCCAGACGCCGTGCACCAGCAGCGCCTGACGGTAGAGGAAGGACATGAGTGTTTGCGCATGCTCGCTGCCTTTGTGCGGTGGGCGAGTGAGTTTAGCCGAATGCCGTGCCTTGACCGAGACTTGATGGAAACCATCGTCCTGCTGCTCTGTACATTGCCGGAGGCATTTCTGCGGCGGCCAGTCGCACATGACGAGAAGGACAGCGTGGAGTTTCCCGCTGGTGATGTGCGGGCGCTGCTGCTCGCTGCATTTGTCAAGCGCCGTGGCGGCGGCAGCACGAAAGCTGCTGATGGGGATTCCCTTCAGTCGCTGCTAGACTCGTATAGCTTCGTCTGCAGGCCTCCACCCACTGGGGAAGCGGAGAAGGACGCTCTGACGCCGACAGCCGCGTCGCTCCTTGCACTGCGAACGAACGCCGAGGCGGCGGTGCGGCTCGTGCAGCGCCAGGCGTCCCTCCACCACGTGGTTTGTCTCTCTCGGTCAGCGCTCTGTCGTCTCTTTGCCGCAGTGACGGCTGGTATGCAGCACCTCACGGCGGACTCGCTACGACCGCTGAGTCGCATTGCTCAAGAAACGGACATTGTCTCACCGGCACTGCGCTATCTCATCGCCCTAACCGTCGCAGAACAGTCGGTACTGTGGGGTTTCATCCATGGCAGCAACAACAACAACAGCACTGGTAGCGGCATTAGTAGTAGGATACAGAAACACAAGGCGGAGGTGCCGGCGTCGGTGGTGGTACGCGCTGTGGCGCGTGCCTACAGTGTGGTGCAGCAGCAGTTTGCGCCGCCGGACGCATTGATGCTAAGCAACCTTTTGCTTCCCAACTCCTCAAACATTGAAACAGACGGCAGAAACAACAATGACGATGAGGAAGATCTAGAGAGCAGCGTTACAGGGTCGCCGGGGGAGCAATTGGCGACACTGCATGAGTACCCGGCAGAAGTTGCGTGGGAAAACTCGTTGAAGCTGTTTCACGTTCTCCTGCGCAACGCCCAGCCACATGCAGATCTTTCCGTTCCATTCGCGGCGTTGATTCGCTTATTGTGCCGCAGTGACCACTACAGTCTGGCGTTCCGAATGATTACGCTCGCTGGGACGCCGTCGTTGGACTCCACAAAGAAAAACCGGGACACTGCACGACACACCAGCACGGATGACGAGAATGAGGTGTCGCGTCTTCTTCCGCAGCACGTTGCGGTGGATGGCTTTCTCCTTAAGTGGGTTGTCGATGCGGTGGAGGCGGTGCAGCAAAAGCAGCAGCAACAGCAGCATCCCCATCTGCAGGTGGCCACTCATCTCAACGGTGTCGCCGTGCCACCAGGATTCTGGCGAGTAGCACTGCACCTATTGCAGCAGCAGCAGCAACGTCTTTTCGGGCATGTTGGGCTCAATGGTATTGGGAAGGATGCTTTGAATGTCTCTTCTTCTGCGCTGCTGGCTCTCCTGAAGGAGATCAGTCAACGCAATGTACCTTAACGGGTTACCGATAGGGAGTGCTCAGAAATGGTACCCCGTTCGAGTTGCTGCCGCTATGTTAGCTTGCAAAGTGAGCCAAAGGATGACTAAATGCATGGTGTAGACGTGTATTTCAACTCGATGCATATTGCTGGAGTGTCAAAACTGAATCTCTCAGTTGCATGCCAGGCATGCTGTAAGTATGGTTTTTTGTTGTTTGTTTGCAGTTGTGTATTTGGGTGTCTGTATGTGTGCCCTAAGCCGGTGCCTTCCCCAGAAGCTCCTGTACTTTTTTGCTTGCGTGTTTCCTCTGTTCTCGTTGCTTTTATCAGAGTATAGCTTCCTGATTTGTTGGGCACCCATTACAAGTGAAGGAGTAGGAACTAATTGAAGCAGCTCAATTGACTTTGTGCATATTATATATTATATTTTTATAACATATATATATAACATATATATATATATATATAATATTATCATTATAATTATTATTATTATCATATAGATACCTTTTAAGACTCTCACACCGGTGTGCTTGTACCTGCGTGTTGGAGCACACGGAAGACGACAACGCTGAGTGGCGTGCAGAAATGAACAGCAGTACCACTTCCGGGCACTCCGAATCCGCGAAGCCGCGGGAGCACGAGCACGAGCAGGAGCAACGGGATGGTGAAGAGAATGAGGGAAATGCCGTCTGTGCGTCTTCCCGGAAAGATAGCCAGGAGGCACTGCGCTGCTCCTCTCCGCCGTCCTTGTTCAGCTCGAGCAACGCAGGGAACGCGAACTCATCGCTGCAAGGTGTGTCGTATTCGTGTTCGCACCGCGATGGTGAGGCTCTGCTGGCTGGAGTGCAGCAGTCGGCTGCTTCCCACAGCCTGCTCGCGAACCACCGAATGCTGGTGGAAAATGAGGTCGCACAGGCGCACCTCCAAGACGTTGTTTTGCGTAATGGAGAGGGCCGAAAGGGAAATCCACCAGAGCAGCACGCGTGTGACTTCACTGGGAAACTTGACAGGCCACCCCTCTTCGCACCCTCGATTCCACAAGCTGCTGCTGCTGCTGCTGCTGCTGCT